CTATAATTGATAAGATTAAAGTTTGTCCTATGGTACTTAATATGAATATGGTTCTCATACAACCAAGTATCTAGGATAATTTTCTAAGGTTAAATCAATGGAACTTTTATTGTTATTTAATAAGAATATATAGTACTCACTACTCATAATATAGACTATAGAATACATATAAAATAATGCAAAATATTTCATTTTTATAATTTGCCTGACTTGAAATAGCCATTTAACAAATGTCTAGGTGAGTAGTGAAACTGTATAAAAAATTCATTCTTTAACTATATGCTTAGTTGTTCACTAAAATTCCTAATTTAACTTCATACCTACGACATATACATAATAATCATGGTAATAAAATTATAAAATATAAGGACATAATGACATCGGCTTTGTAGTATTATTGAATAGCAACCAATTTACCTCGTAACAATTAGTAAAATATGCGTTGTGCAAATCACGGAGTTTCTACAATTAATACGGTAGTGAAGGTAATAATTATATCCGATACTGATTAGCTGGTTTTGACAGTTACTGTTTCAGAGGGCTATCTAATTTTTGTTCAAATAGTCGTATTGTTGTACACACATCCGATAACTATGTTAAAGCGTTTTATTTGAAAACCGGTTCAAAGTAGAAGCCAATTTTGCAATAAATATTTTAAAGTAAACATTTATTTAATTTTTAAAAACAAATGTATTTTAAATTATGAAAATAATATGTTTAATAGTGATTTAATTGTAATATTTTATAAACAAATAATTTACTTTGATTAAATCAAATATTAATATTAAATATAGAATATTTGGATGTTGTCAAAATTATATTATTGTATTTTTATATCAATTTATTTTTCAAATACAGGTACAGACAACATTAATAATAATATGATCATTGATATTGAATATGTAATATGTTATATGAATATTTAAATTTTGTGTTTGCGCCTACAGTTATTCACTATTTTCTATGAAAACAAAAAATTACTTCTTAGAAGTTGTAATTTATTTTTTCACTAGGTATAGTATAGTTACATTCTTGTACAGTTGTACATTAAGGTCACAGCCCTTAGATAGTTATCCTAAACTTAATAAAATTCAGACATTATAATTTCTATAAAATTGTAATGGATTTGACATTATATCACAACAACCACTTACATATGATTAAATGCATTCTAATTTAAAGGGAAAAAATAGGATAGGTTAATAATAAATAAACTAAAGTAATGAAATATGTTATTTTGTAATAAGTACTTCAACTTTTATTAAAATTTCATTTAACAGATATCCTTTTTATGTTAAACGGAGTTTGTGCAAGGACATATTTAATAGTATCTTCCACTTCATTTTGAGATGAATGTTTGAATTTATTTTGTTTTTTTGACAGCATCTAAAAATACACACACATATTACCAATGTGTTAGAAAATATATTAATATACTTATTAAAAAATAATTTTTTAAAAATTTATACTGAAAGACATTTTACTCATAATTTATGGTCAAACGTTCAAAATACATAACACAAAAATATTAAAGAAATTACTTATGTTAGTCATTTAATTAAATATATTCTAAAATGTATAAATGGTAAATTATTTTTAATATATTCATAATGATAATTTATTATGTGTTAAGTTTTATAAAATGTATCTTACCAAAAATTACAGAACAAGCAAAATTTGAAAACTTTTTTTTCCTTTTTTACCGGTGTATGAAAAATCTTTTAATAATTCATCTATAAATAACTTTACCATAACCCGCCTTGTCATTGCTTAAACATGTTAACCACCTATGTAAGAAATTTCATTTACCTAAAAAATTAAAAGGTTCATTATATAAATGTAAAGAATCATATTTGTATTAATAATACGTTAATATTCAATATAATAATTATTTTTACTAAATTTGTACGGAATTTATATCTCCAGAAATTTTTTCATCAAAGACTTCAAGATCAATAACATTATCAAAAGGTAAATTGCAATCTGCTATATATCATTTAAAGAAGATGATTTATTGTTACACGTAGACGTATGTTGTGATGATGTATTTTCTAAACAACTGTCTATTAATTCCAATCTTTGAACCATATCTCTTTGGTTGTTAACTATTTGATTCAAATCAAATTTCAGAAAAGTTAGTATGTGAAGAACTTTTTTTTTTCAAATTCAGTGCTTGAACACAAACGTAAGAAATCCAATTTACTTTTTTAAATACCAATATTTAGTAAGAAATATTTAGTAGAAAATGTCATATAGTCAATTTTTGTTGTTAATTTTATATTTTCATCAGTTAATTTAGAATTTATTTTATAAGATGTGCTTGGTTGTATTTTACATTGCAAATTATTTTCATTATCATACAAAAAATCAACCATTTCTAAATCCTCTAAAAATCTACTTCGTTTAGTAGACCTACTAACAATATTATTCTCATTTGTCATACCTATTTATTTTAAAATCTACCTAACTTACCTAACCCTAAGTTTATAAATTAAACAAAAAAAAAAAAAAATTTACAGCCTATAACTTCAATATAGTTATAAAAAAAATTACCTAGGTACCTACTAAAAATAAAACTAAAAATATGTTTCTATCAATAAAGTATAATTTTTTATGAAATTGTTTAACAATAGGATCAATTGGTACTATAGAATGAATTTAAATTACAAAGATTTTCAAAAATAATATTATATAAAGTAATAAAAGTGTACCGAAATTTAACTGAGCAGCGAGTTAATTTATATGAATATGCACTGCCTAATAAACAATGCTGGTAGCTGACACAACTGATTAAGTTCTTTAGTTATTTAAAAAATTGTTAGTAACAATAAATATTTAATTAGGTATGGGCACCTGTATGTACTATAGCTGCCGGAAAAACTACGACAACACGCGATATAAGAAAGAAAAAAAAAGATGTATGATATTTGCAATTCTTATAAAACTTGTATTAAATACATTAATAAGTATTATATAATAAATTTCACTTACCAATATATTATTACATTTTTTTTTTAAATATTTCAAAATTTAACTCAGTAGGTAATAATCAATGTTAATAGGCAATATAAACTGGAAGTGTAAAAACTTTATATAAATGGCAAAAGACTACGCACAGTTTTGTCAGTTGACACTATTAAAACAATAAAAGCGTTAAATTTAACGTTAAAACAGTTAAAATAACAATTGTACATGTATTTCGTATGAGGTATTAGTAATCATTGGACATTGACGAAATAAATTACAACATAGAAAACGAAAAAGTGACGGATAATATGCAATGACTACTATCAATGTCAGACGCCAAATGCTTAACACTATACAGTAAACAGCTTTGAGTTTGACGCCGTTGACCGGTTCAATCGAAACTCCGCGCCCGCGCTCCATGCCAATTTTCATTAGATAATGTTGTCTGCTACCAGGCCGTGGCGGCCTGTGATGACTGATATTAATGATTTTATGCGATAATTCCTGTGTTAAATCAATCGAACGATAGAATATTAATACTTTGTACAGCACCGCTCCGTCATAGTACACCCCAGCTATGTAGCTGATAATCTTTGATCGCGTAGTACACAAAAACAATATTAATAACTACAAAATTGAAATTAAAAACGAATTTAAGGAAAATACAGATAAATAGGATAATATTTTATTTTAAACGGAATTCACACGAATGCAAACAGTGGTTCAAACTTCGATGTCAAATAATAATAATTTCGTAACTCAAGTTACCACGTCTATATAATATTTCCATACTGTGAAAAGATAATTAGGGGGTTTGATTCCGTAAATTTCCCTACCCATGTTAATGGCCCTGAGTCTATTTATATTATTTTTACATATCGAAAATTTATTTATTTATAAAATAAATAGGTACAACCTATGTTTTACGTTTATATGGATATTATTCAGAAAAGTTGAATAACAAAGTACAAATATACAATATTGCGTATCAACTGATAATTGCGTATCAATAGGTATTTAAATACCTGAAAATTTAATATTTATTTTTAAATCTATATAAACTATAAATTTAATTAAAATTATGAATATTTTGTGAATATTGAGAGTTAAGAATTAAATAAGTATTTAAACTCTCAAATTGAATAAAAGTTAATATATTAAGTTTATTTTAATAACTATTACAATTGAAAATCAAGTATAAATATTGTAAAATATTTTATTTTTAAAATAAAATAACTAAACATTTATTCAATAAAGTATTAACTTTTAATTTTAAATATTTTAATTCTAATCAAAATTAAATATATATACAATCGTTTTGATTAACAAATGCTGTGTGGGATAATACCATCGAGATCATGACGTTAATATTTACAAATCAAAAATATAGAAAAAGTACAAGATTCATCACGCATATCCGATATAAACTGGTTTTAAAATATCAATGAGTACAAAGTAATATAATTATATTTTTATATTTCATGTATTTTTTCAAATAAGCGTATTTATTCTCTTATTTTAAATGTGTGATTACTCATCATTGAGTGTTTGTTCCGACGATTAGATTGAGTGTAGCTGTTTCAAATGCATATAAGTTACTTTGTACAGTTGTAACAAAAACTTTGAAAATTTAAAGATTTCAAAGAGGATCTGTGTTTCCAGCTATAACGATTGATTTATCATAAATTCAAAAACAGAAATAAAATAAAACTCAGAATTATCAGTGCCCGCCGAGTCAAAGAGTATGAGAGGAAAAAAAAATGTTTGTTCCTTTTAATTTTTCTTTTAGGTATCTCTGAACTGACTCTGGAGGGAAATTCTGTTTTAACGTGCGCATTGGCAGACCACGTTATCCTACGTCACGTTCACTTTTTCCTCCTTTGGGACCAAGGATACAGTTTTATATATATATATACTTCATCATTAGAGACTTAAAATCATATAGTTTTGGCCTTTTTTTCTTTACTTAATTTTTCCACGTTCGGTCTTCATATCTCGTTTTATTCTTTTCTCAACCTTATTTTGATCCACAGGCCGGTTTTGAAGGCGATCGCCGTGACAAGATCCTTCGCACTTATGTCCGAAACGCCTACAGCTACCATCTATCCGAGATATTCTTTACCATCGTCAATGAGTACACGGACTGGGAGCGGACCGTGCTGCATCCGATCAACACCAGAGACGCGACTATCGCGGCGCTCAGCGACGCGCAGTACGTGGCACCTCTGGTGCACACAGGTGACATGCTCAGCCAGCCCAAGGCATCTGTCAACGATGACCTGAAAGAGCGCAGCACGAAATCCTTTTTCTATGTGTTCGACTATCAGACGCGGGATGGTGATTATCCGCAAGTAAGTCCCTATACGGCTTAATATTCATTAAAACTTAGAATTAAGAAGGATATTCATTAATCCATTATTTTTTAGCTTATTATAATTTAAAAAATACCACTTTAACACCCCTCCTACCGAAACCATTCTTAATAGCTTTGAGGGTTTAAAATATCACTTTGCGCTTGACGGCTTCTATGTATTCAATATTCTGATAATTACTCTTACATTACTGTGTATCTGTACTGTATAAACCATATGTCAATGTAGGGAAAATTACTGAAAAAATGTTATTTAATTTTTTACCGTTTACTTAGGATGAAATTTTCCATTTAAATAACCACAATTATTAATTTTTATAACTACAAGTTCCTTTTTTTTATTTTAAAACGATAAATGTTTCTAATAATATCTATTTCGTATGCTTTGAGGCATATGTAATTAAAATATAATTATGTAACTTCACTTTTCAACCACTTTGTAACTGTAGTATCTAACCTACCGTATAATTTGTGTCATTAATACTTTATTGTTTTTCAAAACAAATATCTGATAAAATTTTGTGTTTAATAATGGTAACTACGGACGGTAAAATGTTATTTTATGTCATATAATATTTGAAAGAGAAAATACCAAAGAATATTTTTAAGTACGATAAATATAGAGATATATTATAGTAAAATATATTTTTTTATGCGTATAGTCCACTATATTTGTAATTGTTTTTTTTTTTTTTTTTTTTTTTTGATCCAAGCACGCACATTACTGATTTGTCTGCAACTACTGATAAACCTCATTTTCCTTCATAGCAATTTCTTCTGTAATCCGGAATCGTTTCTCTCGTCGTTGGACTGATAAACGTCTTTGTGTGTCATTGCAGTTTTCAAACATTTTGTTGAAACACACACGGTTGCGATTTCTCTTCATTGTAACGAGTTATAATAACAAATGAAAATGAAATAATTCATTTTTCTCTGTGCAATAATAAAATTTCATTATTCTCAGTACTCTTACAGTGATACGATTGCCGTTAGCTATTCAATAATGCACGAACAATAGTAGTGTCGTGGTATGTACTTATCGTCGTCAACGTTTTCTGCGAAAATTACACGTATAAGTTTATCAATTATTTCGATTCGGTTCCCGAATGAAACTTATACGAGCTGTAATTAATTAATTTTAATATAATAACAACTGAATTTTTTTACTCCAGTTGATTTTAAGATTCCGCAAAGTTATCGTTCACCATCGAAGTATTTTAATAATTATAGAATTGGATTATGAAATATTAGAAAAAAATGAAAATCAAAAAAAACTTATAGACCATGCTACACGTTTTTAAGATTTTCAGGCTGATAGATAAAACGAAATTGTTCATTTTTGTTCGTATTGGAAACAAGACTATAAAGTTAAATTATTACTGTCTACATCGTAATTAATTTATCAAACAAAATAAAATTATAACTATACCGACTTAAAATTGTTCAAATGATTAAAATGCGAAATTAATGAATTTATAACTGATCAATTCAAAAAACGTATTTTTAAATGTTTACTTTCCCTTGGGTTTAATCAATATTATTGAACAAGTCTTGAAAATAAACGATTAGATAATAAATAAATGATGATTGAGTACATAGTTTAAAAATAGGTATACATAAAAATGGTCTGAAAATTGTATTTTAATATTTCATATGATATAAACAATGATTTACATTAGATAAAAATAACTTTGAGGATATCACCTCAAGCGCATACATTGTTTTATGACGTAGGTATTTATTCCATCCTTTTTTCTAGACACTCACAAAATTAGTTTTAATTTGTTTTGTTCAAATAATATATTATATCCATACACCTTTTATATATATATATATATATATATATATTTTAAATTCAAAACAATTTTTTATTATCGGAGTTTTCTCTCCGTGTAACTCCGTACTTTATCCATATAAAGTTTTGAATTATTTAGAATATTTGTTGGAATGAATATTGTGTTTGGTTACATTACACTATTTCTCCACATTCGGCCAATTTAATCAAATTGATATCTTTTCAATTCCAATATCAGAGTTTGTAAGTTTACTAAATTCACTTGAGCTAAATAGATATTGAAAGTGTAGACTAACAATAACTTAATTTTGAGCACAAAACTATTTTTATCTCATCGTTTTGTACAAATGATTTTTGTTTGAAATCAATTCAGACTGATATATATTTGTTGCAAACTGTGTAATTATTATATCACTCTAGTTAATTATCATTATTTTTATGTGCGTGAAGTTCCCCCCCTAAATCAAGCTAGCTACTTCAAACCTTTACAGGAATTTTGCAATTAATTTGCTATAATTTGCTATGAAGTTTTCAGAATTCGCATAACCACGGTTTTTTCGAAAAATCATATTTTTTGTTTGGGGGCAAACTTCATGGCCCCCTCAATTTTAAGCTAACGACTCCAAACCTTCAAAGGAATTTTACAATTAATTTGCTATAGTGTACTATGTAGTTTTAAAAATTTGTATACCTATGATTTTTCTGGAAATTAATGTATGAAACTATATTCTACAAAGCCCTCTTCATCCGATTTCAAGCTATGTAGTCATTTGAATCTACGATTAAAAAATTCACCCCAATATTGTTTAATTAATATTATACTGATTTCATTTTTGAAAAATAATTTTCATTGCAATGCAGACTTAAAAAAGTGTAACCAGTGGTGGTGCCACGATTTGTTATCGGAAAGGTCAAAAGGAGGTCAAGTAAAAATATTCAAAAATTATTTTTTAGCACAACTCACTTCTCTGAAAATAAAATCTATGAGCAATATGTATTATCTAGGTAGGTAATAAATTTAGTTAAAAACATAACGAACGAATAATTATTTTATAATAAATAGCAAACTGGACTTCTGAGAAATTTTGGTGCATTGTGTTCAAACTACTTTCCATTATTATATTATTATATTTAATAGAAAATCATTTTTACTCAATGAACACTAAAAAAAAAATGTTTTACTCATATTTAAACTACGTGAAGATTAATTTACATTTTATTTACATTTATTAATTTTATTTTGCATTATAGTAAGAACTCATTTATATTACGATACATTAAAATTAAATATGAGTTGTGAGTTAAACTGGTGTTATGTACAATGCACATATAGTGTATTAGTATATAATATAATTACAGTAACATAACATTCATTGTGACTAAAATGTATTACGGAAATAGATGAATTCTGAGTATACTCTCTACAGCTAATCACTTGGCATTTTTGATTTCTTCGTGTTGTCTTGTGTATCTAGTGGATTATTATAATACTCACCACACAGTATTTCAAAATGTAGATATTCATTCAGTTAATATTATTTTATATTAAATGATATTTGATATTGTTCAAATTATTTTTCTTATTACCAGTTATTCAGTGGTTTGTTTCTACTGGTATAGTATTCATAAACTAAATATTTATTTAATTTTATTTTGGTCAACATAATGATAAATGACATTGGGAAATACACAACGGTCTAATTAAAACAATTCAGAAAGTTTCAAATCCTGAAAAGATTCAAAAAACTAACTTTTTTAACTAAAAAAATTAAATATTAAAATAACTAGGAATTTTATCATAAATAAAGTATTTCTATATGTGAAAAGTAATATTGGCTTTTTTTTGTCAAAATTAAGTTTATTTCAAATTTCATGGAAAAAATATAGAAAGAATATTTCAAAAATGATACCTAAATTAATTCTGATATAACATTTTTTTGAAAATGGGGGGGGGCATAACAGGAATTATTTGAAAATTATGAGTTTGTTTTCTTCAAAACATTTTACATTAAATCTTAATAAAAACATTTTTTAGTCTTACAAAATGAATTTCAAATCAATATATTATATACACAGTGTTTTTGAGGATGTTCAATCATTTTTCTATTTAAAATTTTTGGATTCTGAGTAAAAGAGGGATGTATTTGAATTTTAAAAGAATTGTTTTAATTTGTGTTTACAATTTTGACCAAAAAGGGTGCTCCAATACTTAAAAACCTAGTACTCGTCAAATTAATCTAAAACACTCTGATTAGATGAAAAGGTATATGTAAAATTGTAATCAAACAAGTGTTTTTACTCGATAACTAAGAAATATAATAATATTTACATTTAACTAATTTAGAAATGCCCACTAACCACCCAAATTTCTTTAGCGGAGCCCTAAGGCTCCATAGAGCACAGTTTGAGAACCACTGATTTAATCAAATATAACCAAATTATTTTGAATTTTGAATATACAGACCGTCAAAGAAACGTTGATGTACGTTAATGTGTACAATACAAAACCAATAAATTATTGTTCGAACTCCTTGAATAATTATTATTACACAATGGTTTTATTTTCTTTATTTCTACATATTTTTCAAATATTATCATTGGGCCCTATTATAGGCTGGGGCTATGAGCTCGTGAATTTAACACACGCATCACACTTGGTTATTGCAGCACTAATTTTAATGTATTATAATATAAAACATATTGTAATAAATAAATTATTGTTGTATTGAACATCCGAATATTTTCAGCATCCCATAATGGGAAATATTCTACGAATCTAAAATATATATTTATTTTTGTAAATATTTACACTCATATTTAAATATTATATTTTCTTTATACCTTTAAATTTATTACACTAAACCAGTAAGGTTTTTTTAAATTCTCAACATCTGTTGAAGTTATACAGGTGTGCTTTAAGTATACCAAGTCGAAAATTTTTTCCGGAAAAACCGCGGGTATGGAAATTATGAAAACTACATAGCAATTTATAGTAAATTAATTGCAAAATTCCTGTGAATGTTTCGAATCACTAGCTTAAAATTGGAGGGCTGTGAAGTTGGCTCCCCGAACAAAAAATACGGATTTACAAAAAAATCGTAGATATGCAAATTTTGAAAACAACATAGCAAATTATAGCAAATTAATTGCAAAATGCCTGTGAAAGTTTGAAGTTGCCAGCGTCA